GCATATCAGTTAATGGTGTCATGATTGGTATTTTTATGCTACTAACACAAGGTCTAACTGTAGACTACTTTCTATCGTCCTTGGGGCGGATGGCTAGTTTGCCGGTTTTGTCGATGACGGCTTCGAATCCGCTTCTCTCGAGTAGACCTCCTTCGTCCTTGACGACTTCCCGGGCTTCTAGCTCTTCCACGAGCTTCTGGTTCTCGCGGTTGCCTTCCAGTAGGAATTTCAGACACATGACGGCGTGCTCCTTGATGTACGGGTTGTGCGCGTCAAAGTTGGTACATGACAGGATGGTCTCGACGCCGCCGTGTCGACGGATCTGGTCCTGAACCTCGGGGCACTTCCACACGAGCGATGAGAGAACGAGAACAACGAGCTTCTTGAGATTGCGCCACTCGAATTCGGACGGATCCTCGGTGATAGGGGGCGATTCGGCTCTGGATCCAGCGCCGCCATCGATGGGGTCCGGATCGCTTGGGTCGTAGGGCCGTTCAACCGCGACAGGTCCGGGAATTGTGCTTGGTTGCAGTTCCTTCGACGGGCTGCTACGTCCCATGGACAGCTGGCTCAGTTGCCCCTTGGGGATACTGGCCTCGAGCTCCTTGATCAGTGTAACCAGATCGTAGACGATTTCCCACTTAACTAGGAGATTCTTCCAATCGTTGTTCTCCGTAAGGACGGCGAAGAACTCGAGGAATTGGTAGACACCCTCGTACACCCGTTCCATGTCCCACAAGTTCAGCGGGAAGTCCTCTGGAAGCGCCCGCCCGGCCCGAATCTGGCCTTGGAGGTAGATCAACGCGCATGTCTCGGGAATTATGTTGCCACGGAAGATGGTGAAGATGTAGCGGACTGTGAGAATATCCACCCGAGAAAGCGGCGCTGGGTTCTTCGTTGTGCTGGACTGTGACGAGCCGGTGACAGACGCGGGGGAGTATTTAGCTCTGAAAATATGGGTCAGGATCTTGACAACGACCGCCTGGGCTGGCGATATAATATCCTTTGGCTGCCCAAAGTCCGAATAAGCATGGGACATAAGACCATTCCGTAGGACAGCATCCATTATTTGCACCATCATCTTGAAGTACAGCTCGTCATCAGGAAGGTCCCATGCAGCGATGAAAATTAGGAGTTCGCGAAGGAGGTTCCGCCCTGTCTCCTGGGTGAGAAGGATGTGGCATCGAAGGGCCTGCATGTTCTTCGTGCCGGTTCTCTCGCCACCCTTCAAGCCGAAGCTGTCCACAATACCAGCCTGAATGATCATCGGAAGGGCTTCAATCTCTGCAGGGCCCAACACAAGAGGAATATCTGTCAAGAGACCACGCTGTTGGTCGCCCGGACGGCCGCGGTAATCGTCATCATCCTCGTCGTCTTCTTCTTCCTCCTCTTCCATGCTTCCGTCTGCGACTGCCTCGAGACTGCGCGAATCGTCGTCACCTACGGTTCCCGCATCACCGGCATCATAGTCCTGGTCGCCGTCTCCATCAATTTGAGAAGACTCTTGCAATCGTGCCATCAGCTCGTCCTTTGCTTCCTGCAACGTCTCCGCGGCAGATTGCGCCGACCGAGGCATGCTTGTGTCTTCTTCCATAATAGCTGCATCACCTGCCGCAAGAGCGCCATATGCGTTAAGGTCAGGAAGATCGGCCCAGCAAATACGTGGATATCCTGCCGTTGAACTGCGATCAATTGTAAGTATAGCCTTCTTGCGCGGTGGCTCGTCCTCGGGGAGTGCAGGAGGAAGGTCTTTCGCCCTGTCTTGGAGATCGGACCATCCATCTACCTTCGCACCGAGTATAGCGGTAAGTGCAGCGCGTATCTCCTTGACTTGTTCCGGATCTTTGCCCATTTCTTGGATAGCCGTCAGGTCACGTCCTAGAAGCTTCTCCATGTGATCTTTGATATTCGCCAGAAGCAACATCGCGGCTTCTTCCTTGATTGTGGCCGGCTCTCTAGGGAAATTAGAGATTGTTTCCAGTAGCAAATCTTCCGCTGTTTGGTCGTAAAGTGCCCTGATCGGGGGGTTGACAATCCTTTCTCCCGTCTTCACGATAGGCGCTGCTCCCTCAGGCTGACTGCTGGCCGGGTCTAAGGGTTCTCTTGGTTGGATGATATTCGAATCGCCTGTAGAATGATATCCGAAGAGGTCTAGCCAAAGAACCATCTTGCGCTGCTCATTGTGCATGATGAAGTTATGGAGGAATTGAAGGCATGTGATCAACAGGCGCTTATAAAGGTTGACGACTTTCTGCCAGCGCTCTTCATTTCTCGCATTCGTCTCGCCATCGAACCCGCGAGCGGTCACTCTGACACATGTATCCACTAAAGCCAAAATCCTCTGGTCGAATCCTTTCTCGGCCGCCATGTTCTGCGCTTTCTTTGTCGTGGCGAGAAGGTTGCGGGCGATCGTACACAAATCATTGAGGCGCTCAATATCCTTGACGAGAGAAAAGTAATTGTAGGCGATCAGATTCGAGGACGAATGGTCGTAGTTTGCGGTCGGGGGGCATTTCCATGCAAAGGACTGTGATTCGAGCACCGGGATCGCTTTTGTCAAGACATCTGTGAAACCTTGCCAAATGTCTGGTGATAGACCCAGGTTATGTCTGTCACGAAGGGAACCAGTCAATACACCAATTCTAAGTGCGATAGAATTAAATTCAGGATTAATTATACCTGACGTCACTCTCTTGGTGTGTTTTGTATAAGATCTGTTTTCCGGCAGATAGCATGTGTTCCAAGCGTTTATCGTCAATCATCCCACGAGTCTCATAATGGCTCAAGGTACCGGTCAGGACCACCTTGAGCATAAGCTCAGCGGGGGTACATTTCGGCTTCATGTCCGTCGAAGTCCAATCTGCCATTTTTGCAAAGCAGTTGGCGATTGGAATAGAATATTGAAATGGGTGGGGAAGATGAGAGAGAAAGAGAAAGCGACGCCGCTTTGAAGGGAATTTTTCCGGCTCCGGCCCCGCCATTGCCTTATCGGGAATACATACATACAATTACCGACGAACCATAAATCAACTGGGCAATGCACTCAGAACTCCATGCTTGGGTATTTATAAAAAAATTCTAATAATACATATGGATTCCGCTGCTAACCTAGGTTCATGATGTTTTCCGCCGAGTAGGGAAACCAAAAGCATGACGCAGGTTATTCCAAAATCCGAGGTCATAGATATTGTCGATCTCGTTCATACTCCGCACTAAAGCCCATCTTTGATCAATGGGAGCTTCCGGGTTGATTGGTTGCTTTATCATATTGGAGTCTAGAGAATAAACAAACCCTTCCCTCGGGGGCCCCGCATCCGTGAGGACGAGTACCTGGTCACTACTCACCGGCCACTCCGTCTGAGTATTTTGATATTCATGGAGCAACGGGGAACTGCCGTAAGTCTCGGCCTTGGTCGACTTGTAAGCCATATTGTCAGCAATATCTTCTTTCCAGTCTGACCATTTGGCGCTCTCATTTGTGGTCGTGCCGGCCCAGATGAGGTACGTGTGGTAAACCAGAAACGCCATTGCCAACGGCGCTGTCATAGCCATCAACAAAGTTACTGCCCCGACTCGGATATCTGTCGAGATCACGGCGGCCCATATATTGAGGAACATATTCCAACTTTGCTTCGTCGACCGTATGGGTGAGCCTGGGGGTATCAGCTTCTCCCAGGACTGCGACAGTAAGACGAACCCAAGGAATGAGCCGTATATTAGCATAACAGATAAGGACAGGATCAAAGCCAAGAAGTAGCGGTAATTGTGTAAGCCGACACAATTCATCAACCACACACAATGGTGATCATGGCAAGAAACACATGCTTTGCAGAAACTACAATGCTTACTGCGTGCCGGTTTGAGGAGCTGACATGAGCGGCAATAACGGCCCGGGTGGTAAATGACCCTATCATAAGGATAGCGATCTAGCTCTTCCGAATGATTTTCGGACGTAATATAAGACTTTGTGGCGATACTGGCGTACAGAAAGATGTACGGAAGAGTCGCAGCTATCGGAACGCAGAGTTGATGTGTAGTGGAGATCCTGGACCACGCACTTGGGATAAAGATACATTGCCCTGCTATAAGAAGGGTTGCAAAGAAGATCTGCTAGCACATCAGCATGATTCAAAGTGAATTGCAAAGTATAACTCACAAAGACCAGTGGGTGGTTCTCATGGAGAATGTAATTACCAGATCGATCCCAGCAAGACAAAAGCCGACCACCTAGGAAGCGGTCGTCGATTGAAGCAATTCCATTGGGTAAATGTATACAGACGGCCCTATGAAGCCAGCCAACTGGAGTTTTGCTATTCAGGTTAATGACTATGTACGAAAGTCGGTTTGGACCAGATCTTACCGAAATGCTGGCAGCTTTCCAAAAAGGGCGATGAAGGTGAAGCCAGATATGCCCAAGATGACAAGAGCAACAGTTTGTAGGAGCCCCATTTTGTTTGTCCAAATGTAATAAAAGGGGGAGCGTCTTGGGCACTTTGCCACTGACCTTCACAAGAGAAAGTGTGGCGGATTGTCTACTTCAGCTGTATAACGATCATGATAAGATGGCGTTGGTCCCCAGATGATACTGCGCGCGATGGCTGTAGGAAGTCTAAAATAGAAGTGATCAACTCTATGGTTCTACAAACAGAAGGCGTGACTATCACCACGTGACATTGTATTGGGACATTACACGAACATCACTGGTTGGTGGCATCCGTACAGGTAAGTACAGGGTATATATACAATGAGATGTTCAAGTTGACACAACATGACGCATAATAACATACCCTACAGTCTCCCCAAATAGAGGTGAAACTGTTATGAGAACAGCTACTTGCTTAATAACCAAGAACACTGTAGAGACATTTTCTTTTATCTTGTTTCACAAAGGGGGAGAGAGAAAGAGGGAGAGAGAGAGAGAGAGAGACGGGCAAATGACAAAAGGGAAAGAAAACAACAACAGTACGGCTCAGTTTCAGAATAAAACAAAAAAGAATAAGAGGGATTGGCCGGGATCGAACCGGCGACCTAAAGATAGCTTGCAATTTTTACTCGAAGAGCCATTGCAATCTTCCACTCTATCCACTGAGCTACAACCCCTGGGTTGATGATTTGCTAGCAACTCTTTGTATATACAAGCCGCAAACAATGCTAACAGCTATCTTGTAATTTCCAACAAGTATGGGTCTTTCCTTCCGTATTTGATCTGAGGAATATTATACTCAAGATTTGAAATTTCCCCGACTCGATTTGAGTTTTTATTATCCGTTATCGCGAGGCCAAGGAACTTTAATTAAATTGCATTTACACACCTATTATCACATCCATTCTTGGCTCTGCAACCCTTCTTCCTGGCACGTTCCCACGTGATCACGCGTTGCACTGCAAGATCATCAGGCTCGTGTCTTTACCGCAAAGAAGACGGTCGTAATCGGTCTTATATAGCCGTATGGGCTAGGCGATTCAGTGAGAGATGGTAGCGGAGGATCGCACCTCGGGCGAGGGTGACCAAACCAAGCCCTCCAGTCTTTTCGAGGGTAAGCAATTCTGGTTATCACAAAACGTCCCTCAAAGAACTAGATTTAGAGACATCATTCGGGTATAGTCCTCAATTTGAAATATTATTGAACATATATTCTAACATCAACTTAGCAACATGGCGGCACTATAAGGCTTTACGAAAAGGATGCAGACATCAAGTTGGTCGATCATGCTAGGAAGAACCTCCCGTCGGATACGTAAGTCTGACTACAAATCCTGCCATTTCTTCTTTTTTTTTTTTTTTTAAAAAAAAAGATTATGAAAAAATAACCGTATGTACGCTAATCATGCGCTAGATATTCCTATCGCTACGTTGAACAGTCTGTCCGGAATGGAAAGTTGGAAGACCTTGAAAAACACCGAGCTGGACCTTCCTCAGCTCGCCCTGTCGGAGCAACTAATATCCCAACTAGGAGCCACAGGTTCCCCTACACCTTGAATGATGACCAAATTCTTTGGGACTGGATGGAGCCGTACGAGTTGAATTTAAATGCCCCTGTCAGTGGCAACAAAATATATCAAGAATTGGCCGCAGAGGTACTTGTTCCCCAGCCCAAAATCAAGAGATTGTCTCTCTAAGTCTTATTATCAATTGTGGACAGCATCCTCAACATACTTACCAATCGTGGCGTGAGCGTTATCTTAAAAAGCTCCGCGGACGTCCTCGCCCGGGGGGTGAGCGGGAGTCTAAACTGCCCCCCTTGACTGGGGAAAATACCCGGGAAGAGCTCCCAGCGCAAAAAGCAGAGAACTTCACAGAGCCGCATAAAGAACATCAGAAGATTGAATCATCTTATTATGGCCTAGAAGACAGGAAGCGAAAACGAACCCCAGCAGTTGATGATATTGATCATGATGACCACAGTGTGGATGTGAGTCAAAAAAGGAGAGCAGCCTATAGAACTCCTCCGCACCCGAAACGCGTTATACATGATACTCCAGATTGTCACAACTCCCCAGGAGATGTAGTTCCAGCGGATAGTGAGATAAATGTGGCGGGGGATCCTGACATGAACAAGCAAGGAGCAAATGAATCACAAGTGTCACCACCTCAAACCACTAACCCAGAGGACCTAGTTGATCCGTTGTTCTTAGAACTACCATTTCTACCCCAGAGCCCGGATTCTGGGCATGAAGGACCACCTGCGCAGGATATCGATGCGTGGATTGATGATCGCTTGCGTTTGGGTAAAGCAGCTAATGTGGAGCAAGTGGTCGAGGCTTTACACTGCACCAGTATGGACCCAGATTTAGCCGATAAGGTTTTAGAGTTTTTAATTGAAGGGAAGAGCATCCCGGATGACATGCCCGGAGTATGGACAGCTGAGGACGATGGGTGCATTGAGTCAGAAGAAACCCGGCCTATCCAACAACTCTTAGAAAAGCATGGCTGGGCCTCCTTTGACGCTCGATGGGAATATCTTGGGTTGGCAAAAGCTGCTGGACTCAATAGTACAGACAACTGAGTGTTCTCAAACATACATACATACACAGAGCGAATCATAGAAGTACAACACCGGTCAAACGCCAGAGGTAAAGGGTTGCCTTTCGAAAGGTCTGGTGCAACGAGGGAACCATGAATACTTGCATCAGCGAAGCCCTTTGTTTTTTCTTTTTTTTCTTTGAAAGATCATTGCAGTCCCTTTCCTAGCGATTTAGTCCTAAACAAAGCCTAATAGTAGATGAGCTCAAATATTCCAACAAACACCCATTTATGCACTGCGACCCAACGGTACTATCTAGCAAAAAATAGCCCACTCGCCTCTCAAATGACAGGCAAAGATCTCGAATTCAACCAATTACACACCCAGCTTCAAGTGAAAGGGTCAAGGAAAAAGAAAAAGGTATGGCGCAACAGAAAGATAAAGGAAAGAAAAGGATCACGCATCCTTGAAAACCCTAAGAGAAGTTAGTGTACATTCCATTTTCTGTACAAGAAGATAGTCAACTTACAAATGCTCCTCGTAGAACTTCAACATCTATAAACCGTTAATAATTAGCTCAGGACATGGAATGGAGCAGTGAACTTACCTTTCTAGGGCACTTTTCGTAGCATGTTTCAAGGGAAACCTTCGACTTTTTGCCATTTGTCCAATGTAGGTATGCAATCAAGCCCGACGTCTCCGGATCGCGCATGATTGTATCCACAGTTACCACTTCATTCTCCCAGTTCTTCGATCTGGGTACCCAGTTAGGAAGGTCTGAATCATCATCCTTCTCCGGTGGTTCTGTAGATGCGTCTGCTCGCGACTTTCTCCGTCTCTTCGACTCAGACTTGTCCGGCGTTGGCTTCGGACCTGTCATTGACTTGCGCTTTCCTCGTTGCGGCTTTTCCGGCCGCCCTCCATGAACACGGTAATACTCTTCGACGATGTCTTTGGCGCCCTCCCTAATGCAGATCATTAGTACCTTGTCAATAAGACTGTGTAGCGCAAAGCCACTTACATCAAGTTTTCTTCCGGCTCCATTGTCTGATCCGCGGGATCATCGTACCCTTTCCACTTTACTTGTAACAAAAGGGCTCCCTGATACCGTTAGCCGGAGAATACCATTTGTGGGATTTGATGTCATAAAAGATTCAATTGCGCGCACATTTTTCGCAAACTCATGACCGAGAATTTTCTCGACGATATAGCTGATTATTGTCAGCGCCGTTGACCCTTGGCCGGTTCGGATCGCAACTCACAGGCCCTCCTCATCATCGTCCTCCTCTCCATCATCATTTCCATCATTTTCGACATCGGGTGCATGATCTTCCTTCGCATCGTTATACGGGATCGATTCGCCGGTGGACTCGTCGTCGGTCAAGCTCTCCAATGGGGCTATGCGACGGTCAATTCAACAAAGACAGATCAAGCGCGACTACAGTCAATTGAACACTCACGAGGCATTGTGGTAAAAGAAGAAGCGAGATTGAAAAACCGGGAAAACAATTTGGCGACTGCGAGTTATATAGAAGGGGATCTAGACTTTTCTAAGATGCTAGCCTTATGGAGATTGGCATGTAAGAGTGATTTAACGATGAATGTTGCTGTGGGCGCTGCTTTCGAATGGCTGAGTCGCGCGGGCGCGTGAACATGAAAAGGACGCTATACCCGATCAAGGAACCAGCTCACTAGCCCGAGTCGGACATCAGAACATCTCCAGAATTTCTAAAAAAGACGGAAAGAAAAGCGTTGGTTCTTGTCCAGACCCCTGAATTCCCACGTCACCTCATTACTTTCGAGGGGGAATCTCTTTTCATTTTTTTCTTTACCTATACCCGGCCGCTTTTTGTTTTTAATTTTTGAATTCGGACCCTTGCCGTCCACTATCCGTCAAAATGGCCATGCGTATGTTTCCCCCGTGCCCCTCATTAAAAATGACGATAACTAATGCTTGTTGATCCCCTTTCTTTTAGAGCTTGATCTCTCCCAAGGTAGATTCCATCTAGGATAACGATATTATCGACATCTCTGGATCCCTCGCTGACATTCCCCCGATAGCTTCTGTGTTGAAAGATGAACAGGGCCGCCCATTCATCGTCGTTCGAGAGTACGTTGCGGATTCACCCTTCTATTTGAGCGGTCAAATCTTTTCCAGGACAAGGGGCTGATATCGGTGTTATAGCCAAGGAAAGAAGAAGAGACAGCATGGTACCGAAGCCGTGAAATCCCATATCGTTGCCGCCAAGACTATCGCCAGCATCGTCAAGACTTCTCTGGTATGACCTTATCGCTCAAGTCGAATCCCGACAACGTCTAAGAATGATATAGGGTCCTCGTGGTCTCGACAAGATTTTGATCTCTCCCGATGGTGATATCACCGTCACCAATGACGGCGCAACTATCCTCGGCCAGGTTAGTGTACAGCATCGCCGTCACTCGAGGAATCACTAACGTGGGGGCTCTCTCAAGATGGAAATCACAAACAACGTCGCCAAGCTGTTGGTCGAACTTTCGAAGTCTCAGGATGAAGAAATTGGTGATGGAACAACGGGTGTTGTCGTCCTGGCGGCGGCTATGTTGGAGCAGGCGTCCGATTTGATCGACAAGGGTATTCACCCTATCCGAATTGCAGATGGCTATGACCAAGCCTGTGAGATCGCCGTCGCTCAGCTCGATAAGATTAGCGATGAAATTCCCTTCAGCAAGGAAGATACCAGCAACTTGCTCAAGGTCGCAAAGACTAGCTTGGGCAGCAAAATGTATATCAGCGTGAGAACCAAAAACTTCCCCGTTCCGAAAACTGACTTTTTTTGGATAGTGTCTCCAAGTCTCATGACCAGTTCTCAAAGATTGCAGTCGACGCCGTTCTGTCCGTTGCCGACCTCGAACGTAAAGATGTTGATTTCGAATTGATTAAGGTTGACGGAAAGGTCGGAGGTTCCCTTGAGGACTCCCTCCTTGTCCAGGGAGTCATTGTCGATAAGGATTTCTCTCACCCTCAGATGCCCGACGAGGTCAAGGATGCTAAGTTGGCTATTCTGACCTGTCCGTTCGAGCCCCCCAAGCCTAAGACGAAGCACAAGCTTGACATCACATCGGTGGAAGAATTCAAGAAGTTGCAAGACTACGAGA